TGTAAGAAGCGAAGTAGGCCATGTGCTACTCCCAAAGCCTAAGGGCCAGAATACCGAGATAACATGACCTCGGCGCAAGAAGACCCCAATCGCCACTTCAGCTTGGGAGAATCCGAGAGCGGACTACGGGTCCCTCCCTAAGCCTAAGGGCCAAAACACCGGGCTAACAAAGACCCCAGCGTGAAGAAAGACAGCTACCTCAATAGCGAAGGCAAAGTATGAAATATTAAAGGCGTAAGCAGCTCAGGTTTAAACCCCACGAAGCATAGCTCGTCTTGATACGTCGGTCGACCTAAGGGATAACCAACCAATGCTTAGCTCGGGTGTACGTAGTAATCACTTCGTGGTATGCCGCGGAGGCCCTAAACGTGACCAATAGGGAGAACGCCTACCGAAGAGCCCTACTTTGGGTAGGTAACCTCAATAACCCAAATGATGAGATCGCTTTAGCAAAATAAAAGGAGTTCATCATACTCAGAAGAGGGGAGAGACTTTCATTGTCAAAAAAAAAAAAAACAAACAAATGCGGTAAAGGAAAATAACAAATGCAGCAACCAAGCTAAACAGCTCGGGAAAGGTTTGATCATCATGGGGCACAACCGCCAAACCGAAAAAACTGGTGAAAGACTGGGTTTACGGCACCCGAAAGCCACAGAAGCCCAGAGAAATGCCACCTCAAGGATCCGCCTCCTCGTCCTCCGGAGAGTCGGGCTCCTCTTCATTCGCTTGGTCTGCTATCTCGGGGGACAGGCCCTTCATATTAATGCCGTCGAGGTTAAGCCCGGAGAACTTCTTCTGAACCAGCCACCGGAAAAGCTTGAACTCAGAGCGGTACGAACCCGAGCCATACTTCGCCTGGAGGTCATGAAATTCCTGGGAGTCCTTAAAATCCCAGACTGCTCTCTCTCGCTTAGCCTCCACCATCTGGTCAAAGTTTCGGGTCCGGTTCAAAAGAGTGCACTCCAGGTCCCACATCTGTTGCCTGAGGAGCTCCCTCTCCCCCGCCATCCTCGACGATTCCTCCCTATAGCGTGCGCTCTCTTCAGTAAGCCGAGCAATTTGAGCCTCTTGGTCGTGGACGAGCAGCTCCTGAGACTCGCTCCCCTTGCGGGTGTGATGGAGCTCGCCCCGGATCCGGTCGAGCTCGACTTGGAGCTTTTGGTTGGCAGCACGCTGGTCGAGGGCGTCGACGCGATGGATGCGCGTCTGGAGAGCCATGGCATGGATGACAGAATTTACCTATCGGCGAAAAAGAAAGAT